CCCGCGGAACCTTTACAAAAAGTTAAATCAAAAACGTGAGGTGGCGACAAACAAGTCGCGGGGCGGCAAAGGAGGGGTTGCGGGAGGGGAAAGGGTGTTGGAAAGCAGAAAAAGTGTCCGCACAAGGATTTATCGTCTCCGCAACGCTCGTCGGTTGCGTCGAGCGGAGCGCGCTGTGCCAACAGCCACATCTCGAGGTCACGGGGCCCGCGCGGCCCACGGCCCGGCGGCGGCGGGTTAGCGCCGCCTAGTTAACACTATTAACTTAAAACTTTATCTGCATGTGCATCGTTTCAAGATTTTAATGCAGTCTGTTTCGTTACATTGTTTCGCTGGCACAACTAACTTCATTTAGTTCGTCTCTCACTCTTTTACGGATATAAAAATAACAAAGAACTTTTTCCAAACTCATAATGTATAAAAGTTCAAAATGTAAACGGTAAAGCAAAATTCAATAACGTGAATGGAACTTATTTTCTCAGAAATAAAAATCAATTGTGCTGGTAAAATAAAAATTCAAATATGTCACTTACAAGCAATGAACCGTCTACAACGGGTTCACGAAATACACGATATTTTTCTGATATTTTATGAAATTGACCTCCTTTTTAAATGATGATAAAGCCTAGGAACTACGAATGTCGAATACACACGACACGTAGCGACTACGAACTGCGTAGCGTCGTAGCACAGCGTAGATATAGCCAACAAACAGCGCTGCTACGTGCTCGCCGTAGGAATAACCTACGCGTGCTACGACGCTACGAATTCTTATTCTATTTACTTGCATAACATAATAAAGACGATTAGTAGCTTGTACAGTTCCTCCTTTATGTTGGTATTCATTTAGAATTTTGAGAAGAGGAAAATTTAACTTCGATCCTTTGAGTTATTAAATTGTACATAATAAAACGAGAAAATTGACTTTAACGTTCTTCCGTCAGTTATGTATTGACTGGGTATATAGCGTATTAACTCGACTTCAACTAAGAAAACTTTATCATGCGGTTTAATTTTAGTGCCATTTTTAATCGTTACTTGAGTAACGAGCACGTAAACAGTGAATTATGTAATCGGTTATTTTTTTGAAATAACAAATTACAGGTATTAATATAAACAGCGTCGGAGGCAGTTATTACTGTGGCGCTAATAAAATATACTTGTGACAAATTCATTCGGCTTCAGCAATAAATTACCGCTACACAAATAGGTACAGTCGGCTACAGGCGGCTCGTTCGCTACACAAGTTGCTACCTACCGTACTCTTCGTGTCTACGAAGTGTAGCAAGCGGTAACAGTCTACCGAGAGTGAAAGGTGGAACAACGTATAATGTAACTACGTAAGTATACAAATATCTGCGCTGAAGTTGATGGATGGAGAAAAGTACTCAGGTAACATTCTTATCTAAACATAAATTGTAAACTACTTATTTATTTTCTCAATTCAATGTAACAGTTATGTGTATTTGAACAAAGTCACCGTGCATATTTAAAACAAAAAAAAATTCTTCCTTTTTTAAAAAGTTTCTCAGGTGCATTTGCAAAGACATTCATTTACACATACCCAGATACCGGAGATCGTGAAAAAATGTGTGGATTATATTAAGAGCTGTATCTCGACAACCTGCGACACATTGGACAACGGCCTATGACGCAGCCACTGCAGCAACAGTGCAATTATAATGACTATAGTGTACCAAGTACAATGCTAATAATAATGCTATTCGTACAAAAATGTGTTTATTCAAACACTTTTCTCGACTTCTAGCTTTTGCAGCGAACTGTACATACTCTGGTTGTAATAGTAACTTACATTTTGTCGGTTAGAGTAATAATTTACAGCAAAGGCTGTTATTAATTATTAACAACGAAGGCTATAAACATAGCCTCGTTAATATCTCGGTCGGTAGCCTTTCCAGATTAGATTCCCCGTTCAGGCAATAAAGCATTTGGGAAATATATTTTTAATGTTTTTGCTCCGTGATAGAAAATGTTTTATATTATTATTTGAGTAGTGAATATAGTACACTATTGTATAGCTTTAAGTACACTGTACTCTGTGTCATGAAAGGAAGCGGATGGTATTTAACCGGATTCTGTCATCTGTCATCATTTAAGTGTGGGAGGGCCAAGCTTCGGCACAAATGGGTCGGCTCGACCGGAGGGATACCACAGCCTCACAGAATACCGACGTAAAACAACCACAGCGTTGGGTTTCGCCGTGTGAGTGAGGTTACCGGAGGCCCAATCCTTCTCCTCCCCCGATCCCTCCCAATTCCAAAATCTCCAAAACCCTAATCCCTAAAAGGTCGGCAACGCGCTCGTTACTCCTCCGTTGCGGGTGCCCATGGGCGGCGCTGATTACTTAGTACCATCAGGTAATCCGTCTGGTCGTTTGCCGACCTATTCCATAAAAAAAATCTCCATCTCGCCCAACCCAGGGCGGGAAAAGATATGGTGACGAAAAAAAGCTGTAAAAATTCTAAAGTGACTCACTTTAGCGATAAAGGCGGCGCCTAACACCAGTGTTCGCGACAGTACAAGTACCTAGGTACCTTTCCACTTCTCCAGGTACTTACATAAGCGTCATGTATCAAAGGCTCGATAGATTACCATATACAGATTACACTCAAATGTTCGAACCTTTCAAAAGAAGAATTTTACACTTTTAATGATATTTCTACATTATAAATGACTCCTTAAAAAGGATTTTTAATGAGAATAACGAATATTTTATTTTATTTCATTTTAATATCCGTCTTTTTTTATTATTTCAAAACATTTACTGATTTCAAATATAGAATTTAGGTTCGTTGGTTGGGCAATTGGCTGCCGTGAAAAGTGTCACGGGTTATATTACGGTGTGAAACAAATATTGAGTGATACGTTGAAAGAAAGTATAGTGAGGAAACATAACTTTTAGACATAAGTTTGAAATCACCAATCCGCCTTGAGCAAGCGTGGAAATCAATACTCATACCTTCTCTACGTGAGAAAAAGCCTTAGCTCAGCAGCGAGCAGTTATAGGCCGATAGTGATGAAGACACAAAATGTTGAAAGAAATTAACTTAGATGATCCCTTTTGCTAAGTGGGTCCAGTACACAAGGTGCGTCGTGGAAGTCGTGTCGGCCGCTCGACTCTCGTATAAGTTATAGACACGGCCCCAAGTGTCCAAAGGGGCTCTAAATTATGCACGGGCGGGCACAAGGCCTTATTATACCAGGTAACCAACGGTTTCAATATCGTTCAGCGAAAAAATGCATATTTTATACGGAATTGAGCGAGAAATCTTAGCCCTCCGATGTTTTGGTGTGTTACGTGTTGGTTTTATAGTTCAGATTGCGAGGTCATTGAACGCGTTGCGATCTTAATTTTTGAAGATGTTTGTCTTGTAATATTGGTCGTTCAAAAACAAAACAAAAATAGATTATTTTAGATTGTTTGTGTAGTTAAATCAAAGTCGTGGTAGATGATAAATTAGTAATCGCGAAAATACACGTATATTATTTTGTTAGTTATTTTGTGCCCTGGTTAGGCCTTAGCTTAGAGGCTATCGTATTCTGGTTGAGTAGTAAAAAGCCATAGAGTCTACGGGGGGTCCAACCCAAAGAATAGCAAAAAGCCATAGAGTTCAGAACTCGAACACGAGGGGTCCAATCCAAAAAATATATAAATTGCACTAAAATTAGACATCTTAATTACTACTAAAACACATGTCATAAAAATAAATGTACAAACACAAATAAGCGACAAATACAAATCATTCGCTAGAAAATTATTCAATTATATTTCTTCAATTCACAAATCAAAACAGCTAACAGGCGGAAAGTCTTTAGAAAAATCGTAAAAGATTTTCAAATTTAATTTAGAAGAAAGTTTATTTGAGCAATAAATAAATATGTTTTAATCAGAATGATTTGTATATTTTTATTTTTATTTTAAAGCTTGCTTCTGCTAGTGGCTCCGCCTACCTCTGAGTTTGTTTCGGCATTTTTTCTCAGAGTAGTCAGATAGGAAATACCGGCTTCATCTAGTTTTTCACATATAAATTGACGTGTAAAAGTGCCGTTTTATGGCCTATTTGCAAAAATAAATTCATTGTTTCATTGTTTACAGTAACAGTACAAGTATAAGTACTAGGTATATGTTATTTCAGACATAAATCATCATTTTTCAAATTCCATTCAGATTCGTTTATTAGTTTTTACGTAAAATAGGAACAAACAAACATCCATCCAACCATTGAATGGATGTATCTTACAAACTTTAACATTCATAATATGTATTAGAACGATTACACTACACTTTGTAGAAAGGATGAGCAAAAAAGTCTAGATTGACTACATTTGAAAGTCAAACTCGCAGACTTCTTTGTCTCGGCCACACAAGGGAGACGTGACGTAAAAACGAAGTCCTTTGTGAGACTCAAATGCTCATTGGTTACAAAATCGCCTGCAAAGAGCAGATATGAAAGTTTTTCAAAAGTTGATCAGTTTAACCGTCCATAGATTGTTGAGGTAACCATATAGGTTGGCTTCTAACATTACTCACTTCTCTTTTGCACGCTATATAAAAGGTCACTCGTTTTTTTTAAGTAATTTTATTTAACAAGACCCACTAACGAGGAAAATAATCCAATTTTCATATAAAAAAGGCGCCGAGAAAAAACGGTAGTCGACCCCAAAAAGGGATTTATTATGGTATAGCCTCTCTCTAGGTACTACTCGACATTGACTAATAGTGGCCGATACTGGGGATATAAAACAAAACTTTATGTAAGGCTGTTAGAGTGCAATATGGAATAGCAAGGGAGTTAATAGCGTAAGTAAAACGCAGAGGTTACCGTTTATTGTAAAAGACTTCTGAAATGGTTCATTGGTTAAATTACGGTAGTACAATACTATATCATAGAAAATATCGAACTTTATTAAAAATCTGAATTAAAAATTATATTAATAGAAAATTTGTTTATATAATTTTTTCAGGGTAAAATATAGTGTTAGGGACCCCCTACCAACTCATAGAGTGTGGTCTCTAGTTGACCCAGTGACCTCATAAAAGACGATGGCTCAGTGGTGACCTGCCGCCATGCACAGGGAATCTCAAGGATAATGTAGTTCTCCCTAGGGACAAACTGTAACAACAGTTATATTGAGGAAATTCCAAGGTGGGTCTATTAGGAGGACACAATGCTCCTCATAAGCGTGGAGGATAACCAACGGGTAGGTTTTAGTCAACTAAAAAGTTCCCACTCTCTATTATTTCTACACAAAATGCCAAAGGCACCTTTGAAAGGTATGCCACCATCTTTAAAAGGGTAAAACAAAGTTATGCCACATACCAATAAAGAAGATTAAATATGAAAAGACACTAACACCGACGTACACTTGAGAATTAATTTTCTAGTTCTGTTCTGATTACAAGCAACAGATACAAAGCAGGTATACCTGTTGTTTCAGTAGTTGAAAGATAAAATTAGACATTTTATGTATGTGCATACATATAAATATGTACATATATATGTATAGACAATACCATATATCATTCAGCATTTATGTACTACATATGTTTAACGAAACAAGAATCTATTAAGAATGCCCAAATCGGAAAGCGGATAGAACATTGTTCTCGCAAGTTTTAGTACCAATTGTATGCATAGCGCAATGGCTGGGATAACGACTGTCGCATGACATGTTACGAATTCTTTTGCGGACTTCTTTGACTACACTAATTGTTGCTATGTGTTGTGTTTATATGTAAACGCATATTTGATACGGGAGGAAATCTAAGTATGTATATAGTCACAAGTACGAATGACCCTTCTCGACCGGAGTGCTGCCACGGTTTCACAGAAAATATAAATATAATATAAATTGTATTTCGTCATGCAAGTGAAGTTATTGGAGGTCTAATCCTTCTCCACATCCAATCCCCTATTCTGAACACTAACAACTCACTGTCTCTACCGATTGCTTCACCATCAGCCTTAAGTGGCCACTACTGAGCAAAGGCCTCTTCTTAGACGGAGAAGGTTTGATTATTAATCACCACGCTTGCTTGCTTAAGGCGAATTGGTGATCTCAAACTTTTAACTAGAAATTACAAATTCAGATTTCCTCACCGTTTGTCAATAGAGTGTAAATACAGTTAAAAATTACTTCTTCAACCACGTACTATACATCCGGGCTACACGACATTCTTTTACCACCGATTGATTACCATTAGGTAATTCGCCTGCTCATTTGCCGACATATTGGATAAAAAAGCTGTCAACTGGAACTACTATATTTAGTTCTGCTAAGTTGCAGTAATTATTACATTGCACTGAATCTAAACTAAATAATACTGAACAATCCGATATCTACTGAGATGCAAGTGTGTGGGTTATTTATATAACATAAACTGTTCTGAAACCTGTATATTTCATTTGAGTTGTGAAACTTTATCTATATCTGTTAACTGAAAGATGAAATCTTTAACCAATATTATAGTAGGTCACATTACAGTGGGGATGACTAACATGCTATATTTTCAATTACTCAAGTATTATAGAAACGTCATCATCTAGGAGATTTGGTGATTTGAGCGTCGAGCGAACCTATTCGTGCCAATTTTTATCCCTTCCTCTATTTACAATAGTGCTCCTATTGTATTGGTTAGTATATTCAACAGAATACTAAGTAAATATTTCACAATATCTGTCACGCTCATGTGTTACTACTGAAATACATTAACTTTTATCAGTACTCGAAATCGAAGACCAGAATGTGCTCAACAGCGGTTCCTTAACAAAAAAGACTAGTCTTGTTGCCACGGCAAAATATGCTGTAATATATTATACACTAGATTAGATTTGCATAGTTTTGTAACTACTCATGTAGCGCAGAGTATGCAGAGTACAAACAAAGCGATGAAGCCACGGTATATGGCTATGTATTTCAAACTTCGACTTAAGTAATACTCTAGGAATCCGAAACTTGCGAGACAGACCAACAGAACAATACCACCTAATCATGTAAATTCTATAGTGATTGGGAATTGTTCCACTTTGAATAAATATTCAAGTTTGAAACCGATTTTATTAAAAAACTGCCACGCGTTTTCATCTTCGAAAGGATTCAGATATGATATTAAGAATACAATATGATATTTACTTTTAAATTTTATTTAAAGTCAAAGTATTTCAATTGCTATCCTTTAACAGGCGCATTTTAATTATCAAGGTCATATTTTTCATCTGTTTGTCCGTCAGTTATCCTTTCAACTCTTGAAGTTACACAATTCCAGACTTTCTACTATTATTAAGAAATATTCGAAAAAGCGTCATGCCCATAGATGATATTCAAACCCGAGATCCTCTATTAAAAAGCCAAGCTTGCGAAGACATGAGCTGACGGGGCAGTCAAGTCGATTTTTATAAGTTATTTTACAGTGGAAACAAGGTTCATTTTGTTATTCGTAACAAAGCTTATACTTAAGGACAAAGTATTATTGCATTAGGCCCTCCACTCAGACCTAACTACTTATGTACTATTCATGGAAATAAAGGAAAACTTTTACTTTTCTATTTTTTTCACTACTTACACGACAAAGTCTTCATTTTTTGTTACCAAAGAACTTGTAAAATGAATATTTTAAGAAAACTTAGTTCAAGTAATTCTGACAACAATCTACTTTGTAAGTTTAACGGGAGAATTATAGAGAAAACAAGTTGGCGCCTGGAATATGAAATCAAACGGTAAACTGTCTATGGAACAAAAAAAAACTTAAAAACTTTCAGTACTTTCCTACTGAATCTGAAAACCTTACACTGTGATATGTAATAAGATATTCAGAAAACAAGGTCGTTTGTTTTTCGTTTGTTTTCAAGCAATTAAGTTGCTTGGACATAACATTAATACATATAACATCACACATTTTCACCCCTTATGGGATAGGCAAAGGATTATTAGGATATTCGCTAACTGTCCCGCTGCGCTTCTAGGCGTCCGATAGACGTCCGATGCTTCTCCTCAGCTAATCCCTCAACAATGTCTAAATCCCCATAACCCTTTATCCTCAAGAGCCTAGTCAAGTCACTTACTCACTGCAAATTCTCTGGTGTTGTGGGCGTCCATGGACAGCGACGATTGCTTACTATCAGGTAATGGATCTGCTGGTTTACCGCCGTATCACATGAAAACAATTGTGTCATTATTCCCATACCTTGTGATAGGGGTTGAGCCTATTGCCTATTGGAGTTTCAAAACACAAAACGGCCTCAGTAAATATTTTTATTCTTTATTTATTTGCCTCTTCTAGTGATAAGCACATTTCTTATAAATACGAGATCCATTGTAATTCGAAACTAATAGTGCTAAGGAGTAAGTCTTAATTTTCAACAAATTAAGTATGTTTCACGATAGTTTACTGTCCAATAAAAATAATACTTTGTTCGAAGTCGAACTTAAAACATCTTGTTTACAACCGCTCGACCAACGAAGCAGTCACGTAGCAGGATATTTAAAAAAAATATTTCAATCTATTTATAAGGAAGGACTCATCTTCTTAAACACAAAACCTTCTTTAATTAACACCTGAGTAAATAAGTCTTTTTGAAATGTTTTAGTGACTGTCCCTCGAGGATTATATTTTTATGAAACTCTTTCAGAAGATTTACTTTAAAAAATAAATTAACACAAACACAAGACTTTCAGGGGTACTCAAGTCTGATAAGGCGCATCGTGTCAGCCTTAATGAATATTATGTTTCGGAGCATTTCGGATTAAATTTAGAATATATCTCGAATGTTTATTTAGCTTTTTAATTGAAAATGTCAAAGATAGAGATGAGTATGCGACCTGTTGACCGCTGTTATCTAAAAGTCGTTGGTGGGCACAGCTATTGTTATCTATGCTTTCTCCTAAATAAAGTTTATCTTAACGAGCTGTCAACACGTCAATTATAATGTTTTAAATCACATCAACAACAAGTACCTAACTGTACCCTCGAGTTTCAATGGAATGTAGTGATGACATCTGAACCTTTCTTTCAGGTCAAACGCCATAAAAACAATATTATTCACACATATTTTTTTATAGTTTATAAATATACTCACGTACACAATTTATAATTTACGAAAAGAAAAACAAAAGATATCATTTATCGTCGTCACATTAGACGATTAATCATAAGAACAAATGTTTGTTCTGACAGGACGGGTCTTGTAGACCCAGACCGCACCTACTCCGCTCCGCAAATAGGACAGAATCGTCCCAACACTTCTACGACACATGGAAAACGCCTCGAAACATCTCGAGCGAAACAAGCAAAGATTTTACTAGTGAATAGCTTTTTATCTCGCCCGCCTTTGGTGTTTATCTGGATTTAACAAGGACGCTACTAAACGAAATATTGTTATCTCCAACTTGCTATCATTTTCTTCACCGTGGAATAATCTTAGGAATATAAAGACGGGATGTAACTACGGAGTCAGGTCACACGACAGACAGCTATTTATTTCTTAAAAACATTAATTTTCAAATTTTATCTCCTTTATCCTTTTCTTAGTAATCAGAAATGTAAGTTTTTTGGCCAGGGATTAACAAGCTTTAAGATTTTAAATTCTAGAATGAATACCACTTTCTTTTGTACTGAAGGGAAAAGCGGTGTGAGTACTTCAATTAAATCAGACTCATTACTAAATCACAAAGGAATCACGGAGATACTACTAACTGTTAATAAACACCCGATATTATTTGGAATATGAACTAAAGATTATTACATCAATCGGGAACACATCTTCTACCTCCTTCTTAATAAAACAAACGACATACGATCACGAAAAAGTACATTAGGGTTCCTACATAAAACCTTTATTAATCTAAATATATAAAATTTGATATCAAACTAGCTTAAAGATGTCGTTATCATAAGTCCAAATCTGTCATAAAAAAGCACCACTGAATGTGTTGGTAAACGCATAGCTCAAGAACGCCTGGACCAGTTTTGTCAATGCATTATTGTTGTATTTATTAGCATCAGCATCAAGATCTTATGAAAGAAAATTGAAATCCCTTTGAACTGTTGATGCCGTGGTGCAAAGCTAACACAAAAAAATACTGACACCGAAGTAGTGAATCTGGATCAAGAGTGGGCTTATAGTAATTTTATAATTCCAAACCAGAGTCATCTCAACAACATCTCGGTAATCGATCGTGAACTCTTGATATGCTACAGTTACAAATATCAATAGTTACTTCACATTAGTATATAGGACTTTTTCAAATGAGTACTAAAACCTGAACTTTTCTTTGTACCTAACACTTAACTTTAATTAAACGATTACAGGTTACTCTAATTCGTATCCTATTTTATTATTTATTTAAGTAAATTTAATTTCGAAAATAATATTCAGACATAAGGGAGAAATATTATTATACACTTTCTAATCTCGTCAAATACCAACCGCCTGATACTGAACTAGCCACCCAAAACATATATAATTACGTAGAGTATGTATGTATGTAAAAAAGTAATTGTCTGTAGTCAGTCTTCCAGATGAATCCCATCCCAAATCTGAGAGAAGCCGTCATCAAGGCGGGAGGTGACATCAGCAAAAACACAAAGATCCAATTTACGTAGGATAAGAACCGGAAACCTCTTGGCCTTATATAGAATACCTGATCTGCATAGGAATCCACCCAGAATCCTATTCAAAAACCTAACGACTTTAATAGGGCTGTCTACCCGCGGATATTCTCAATTTACTTACGTTTTATCACCTAGCATTTCATACTAGGGTGAGTTCAACAATTTATTTTTCAGATTCGAAAGCTCATCCCTATTACGGAGTTTTTTTTTACTTCTGTTTGAATGTCACAAGCGATTAGTCGTATCGTTTGTCGTGAAACTAATTATAATTTGATTATAATATTCGTTTGTCTAAATGGTTTCTCATTGGTTGGGAGCTGGCAAGTGTGGCACGCAGCCCTGGTCGGTGCCACGCGCTGCCAGACACAACCCTGCCACTAATTCCTCCTAAAAACCTAATAAACCTTTGCCCTACGCAGGGTTGCCAACCCTCGGGATACGGAGATATTTAACAATGTGTCAGCAAAGCCCCGAAATAAATCTGTGAGCTATATCGGTATAAGTCTAACTTCGAACGAAATATTAATAACATACAAAAGTAACTGATTGTGAAATAAACGTAGGGTTGCAGTTCGGAAGTTGTAAGAAATTATAGCTATTACTTCTGTGGAAATGTGGAAACATTCTCAAAGTAGATTGGAGCCCTTCTTCCTTAATTCCACCCTTCATAAGTTATACCACCGATATAAGTGTAGGAAAAACATTTTGGACAAATTGTTCCTGTAACGTTTCCTGTGTCACCGTCACGGAGTCATCAAGTTTTCCTCCTCCTACAGTGGGTACAGCCCTGGAAACGAACACTGAAATACATTTCTTCGAGACGTTAATTGGTTTCTAAATCACGCGAACGTATCGTAAATCTGCGTTTGTTATTTACAATAATATTTATTAGTTCATAAGGGGTAATCACGAACGCCTTACGTAAACATACGGCCAATTAATGAACATGTAGTCTCACAGAGATCCGGCGGCGACGGCGGGCTGACCGCACTCTCATTACATAGATGAGCACATATGATGACAATTCTCACAGCACACACACACAATTATATGCATATTTAATAGTAACACTTGCACGGCGCGTGTACGTACAGTGTTCACGTATGTGTGGGGCGCGGCTAAGGGCGGGCACACACGGGCAGTCGCGGCGGACGGCGGTCGCTCACTGCCGGAGCCGGCGCCCCGAGCGCCCGCCGCGCCCCCGCGCACCCCACCGCACCCCGCTGAGACCCGCTGAGACCCGCCGCGCCGCAGGACGCTGAAAATCCCTTTCAGGCGCGAGTTTCGCTGAATTCGCCCTGTAATACATTAAAAATTATGTTACAAGTACACTCTAAAATTAATCAATGGCTATTACTACCTGGGGCTAAATTGGCCTGCCTGTTTTTTACGTTGTCGAATAAATTATTATCTCATATCCAAAGTATAATGTGATCATGTTACACAGATACTTGATTAAAAATACAAAACTCTTTTGTAAACCATTTGTTCATTAATTTATTATTGACAGCTATAAACATATAATACTTATATTTCCCTTTTTAAAATTACCTTTGCAGAATGCGCGTTCTTTTTTTAAAGCTCTTAAAGTCGTCGTCGCTGTCCGCAGGAATTTAAATCTTAAAGAACATTTTGTTATAATTTTACAATATTGAAAAATATTTAAATAGAGTTTTTTTTTAAATACCTTAAACAGAACCTCTTCACATTCATTTCTAAAAAAATACTTTTAGCGTGAAAATATATTCTAAGCTAGAATAGTATAAAAATTCATTAGCCTTTTAACCCACTGAATTAATAAGTAAATCAGTGAACTCTGTCTTATGAAAGCTCGTCGGAGAGCTTTTATATTTAAACTTGGCGGTTGTTTTGACGGGGTTTGACAGTGACGTCACTTGGTTACTGACTACCCGAGCTGCCTAAACATGTCGAACTGAGAAGGCTGGGACGGAACTGAGGCCGACATCCTTCCCTTCCTTTTAGTGGGCCGCGCCGCCACGGCCTTAGTAATAAGCCGCGTGACACAACGCTTATGAGTTTACAGAATGAGTGAGTTTTTCGGAAGCCCAATTCCTTTTCCTACCATTCCAAATTGCTAACAACGTACACGTAACCGCTCTGCTGGCCATGAATGGCGTTCATTGCTTACCATCAGGTCATTAATCTGCTCGTTAACTCTTTCATCTCAAAAATATCAAATTTTAATTTAAGCCACTTACCTTAAATCCATAATCACAAAAGTACTCAGAAAGAAACTTAAAATTTTTGTAAAATAAATACTGTAATCGTCTAAAGTCTCCACTTTTAAGAGGTCAAATATTTGAAATACAAAGGTAACCTTTACTTCACATATTTTGTGAAGAAATTCTAAAGTTACGTTGATTGAGGCAATTAAAATAGTTTCAGGGTGTTCGGAGGTCGTTAAGTAGTCAGCCAGGCTTTGTAGATGTCCTCTGCCCTGACTTAAAACCTCCTCTAACCTTGATATTTAAGGGAGAAGCCGCAAAAGGGCCTCAGTGTTAGGTACTGTAAGGCTTAGCTGAAAATGTCTCTGCTGTACAAGCGAAACTTGGAGGCATACTTAAAGCCGACAAAGTAATTTACAGCACTACAGCATATTGTGAGCTAATAACAAAACGCGAACGTATTAACTTGTATGTAGAGTTTCGTTCTCGACTGTATACATTATTGTTTTCTAGATGTTTCTGCAGTAAGTACGTTTCAGAAATTCGATTAAAAATCTTAAAATGTTAATTTTTATTATATCTATCCATCAGTTGGCTGAGCGACGTTTGCCATGTCCCGTTTTTATTTTATGTAATAGGTCCGCAAATGAGCCGACGGATTACCTGATGGTAAGCAATCATCGCCGCCCATGGACACCCGAGGCACCCGCCCCATGGCAACGGAGGAGTTACGAGTTTTGGAGATTAAGGGATTGGGGAGGGATCGGGGGAGGGGAAGGATTGGACCTCTGGTAACCTCACTCACACGGTGAAACACAACGCTGGTATATCTTCGTGTACCGCGCAATTCCTGTATATGAGTCCCCGTCTTGGCTTGAAAGTCGTCGGATTATCTCGATAAAAAATTACTTAATAATTAATTTATTATGCTTCAAGAAAGTAATTATAATACAAAAACCTAAAATGCATTTTTCTGATCAAGGTACTCTTGTTTTTGTCATCAAAAAAAAAATAATAGAAAGCTGTGTCCTATCTCACAGTATAAAAATGAATAAAGCAGGGTTAAAAAAGTCAAAAGTTTATATTTTTATATTTTATACTTATTTACTGTTTCAGCAACGGAATTTTTCGAGTCGTTTCTAAAGCACTTCGGTGTGGTAAAACTAAGAACAGGTATTAGAACATAGTTTTGTACAAGTTCAGCTTTTATACAACTTTTTCTAGAGAATTATTAACTATATCTTTTTACTAAGTTACCTACTCACTCAAACTTATATGTTTCAATAAAACTGAATAAAACTTGCGACGAATTTCTCTTCTATCGCATATCAGCTCGCCGAAATATTAGTTCTACGTGGGAACGAAACCACGACACATAGTGCGGATACCAGTCGCTCAACTCATGCTTAAATAATACCGAATATTTAACTAAAATATTCCTCTTACAAAATATTCAGCTAAATTACGGAACCAATAATAATATTGATAATTTCCCAGTCAATAAACGCCACAGTAAATTAAATATTATTTGAGTTTTACTCTACTGTGCCGCAAAGTAGGTATGTTGTATTTCATCATCGAGCTGTGTCCCAGCACCCGCGAAGAGCTTCAAACAATGGCGTTATTGGATTTTATCAAGAAGATAAAACAGCGATTGCCTCCGTGTTATTTCGCTTTATATCGAAATAACCTTTAAAATAACTCAGTAACATTAAAAATAACTCCGACATATTGACAATTTATTTTACTTTTCGCTATAAACCTGGAAGCTTGCACATCGATAACGACGTACTACTACAAAATATAGGTTTTAATATACAGTACACAGTTTCCAGAGCTTCTCTTGTAGTAGCATGTGTGCGTCGCTTCATTAGTTGATACTTCAAAGCGTAAAAATATCACTGTTCGACGAAATATGGACAAGTATTGTACACTCCCACATTTTTTAAAAATACTTGTAAGATAAACAAAAAAACTACAACAAATATTCGTCATTTTACAAATAGTTTGTAATACAGAATAAAATTACTAGTTTTTCATACATAGCAAAATTTACATAAAATATTCCGTTGTGTATTATTTCGTCAGCTATTTTATTATCAGACACAATGGCCATTCATTTGAACAGCGTCTGGGCTATAAATCTTAATATATCACACTTGCCACACTGGAATACCAAGTAATTATGCAAATTATTGTTTACAAAATAGTCCAGATTAGATATTCGTGTTGGGCGCACGCTTCAGACGACTTTATCTTAAGATTCCATTATCTTCTTAACGTCACGGCTCTTGAGTTCACTAAAGTATAATAATAATATTACGTCGGCTTTTGTTTAATTCTGTCACACTGGAGAAGGGGCTGCTTCTAAATCATCGAACTTTATAACTATAGGTTCATAATGTCAAACTACTAGTATATCCGCGTTCAACACTAATTACTTATACTACAGTATTTTATTAAAGTGTACGAGATCTTTTCTCGTTCTTAAATTAGACTTTCCCTTCTTTACAGGACACGAGAAATTCCCACGTTCATTTTTGAACAGTTTTCGCCGATCTAGAATTCTAGATCAAATGGCAGGCTCTCTGGCTATTAAGAATTCTGTTCTGACCACCTGCACTCGGGCTGGGGTCCATTTTGTGGCGACCTACATCCACGATGCGGTCACATCCACCCTGACCTGCCGTTGTTCCCAGCAAAGCCGATCGCTATTCGCAAAACTAACTCGGTTTTTTAACAGGCAACTTTTCGTCAGCTCCGATAAAACGAGTGTAACCCAATCTAAACCCTATGTACATATAAAAAATACTTCATTTTAATTCTGAACACGAAACGCCTAAATTATAGGATTCCCATGCTTGGTTCAGGAATTCAATCTCTGCACAATCAATTATTTAAATGGATTGGATCATTGGGCCGGATCATGTTGTTTGTGCATACTCATATTATATGTATAAATGTAAAGTATCCGTAGTTCAACCAAAGTACCTTAAAACTGGTTTCATTAAGCATGCTTTACGTAAAATAAGGCACGTTCTCACAAAATAGAACCGATGTAACAAAGAAATGAATTGTAAAACTGATTGAAAAAGAGTAACCAAGGAGTTTCTTGCTCGTTTTTCTCCATAGTAATCTACATTTAGGAACGAGCAAACAGCTTCACTAGAGGACAGACGGACAGACGCATAAAGTTAAAGTTTTTGATATGCATTTTTTTTGCTCTATGAAAAAGTGCCTGTTGTGGTTTATTTGAAATAAATGATAAGAATTTTTGTTCCCACAAAATAGTATCTCATAACTTTCGCTTTTGCTTTCTTAAAGTCAGTAAAAAAGAACCTCTACTGATTCATATGACCCGTAAGTGATTCCAGCAAGTTGTGGCCACCACTACGCCGGCTTGCCCGCCGGTCCCGCGTGGGCGCCACTAGGAAAGTTACGTTCCGCGCCACGCAAAATAAATTGCACACAGGAACTTACAACCGTACATATAATTAAGGAAACTGGAGTTTTAGAAATAATGTGAGTTTTGGATTTGTTTTTTATGTACGGGGTCGCGAGCGTTGTTATGGACAATAATAATAATAACACTGTAAAAGTAAACACGTTAAATAAATATTTCCTAGGTTTTGTTGACTTGGTAATCTATTTATTGTAACAAATCTTAGCGAATTGATATTATACTGTTATTTCTATATGAAGATATGTTAAACTTCATTTATATTAGAAGGCCATAGTGGATCTACCAAGAAATAAAGAAAACAAATAAATATATTTTATATTTTACTCCAAATCCAAATAAAAAAAGAAATACTACAGCCGTTTCTATGTGTAAAAATACATATTTATATTTAATTATTGACGTAAATAAAAATCGTAAAATACAAACAAGAAGACGGTATTAACCAATTTGAAAAAGAAATCGTTTTCAACAAACTCGATATAAGAAAGAAACAAAATGATTATACAAGTCAAGTCATTTCTAAAACAGAAATACATTTTCGGTACATCTCCCCTAACGATATCGGCTGTGTCAGCAAAAGGATAAAAGTTCAAAGCGCTGATGATTTTCCACTTGAACGGTGACGGCCATCCCTTCACCCGTTAATTGGATGCTAAACGGTGGATGTTCCGTGGAACACCTTGACAATTGTTATTTTTGACTTTGACGGGAAATGAGTTTTGAACAGATCCCACAAGGGGTGTCTAATAACAAAAACCATTAGTCATATAAACAAACAGTTTAAAAAGTAAAACAAAACAAACAATCAAAGGAACGCACACGATCCATTGTCACTTGACTAAGAATTTCAATGAAATGCAAGCTTCGGTTGTTGTGACGAATATGGCCACTGGTCCCACTTCAAAAGCAAGCTCAGTATTAGTAAGCACAGACAAGTAACACACAACAACACTCACAACCTCAAACTCGCTTTGTGGCAGACAATAACAGCTCACGATGTCCAGTCGAAGCCACACAAAACCGGACAGGCACAACCATTAACCTCACTGTCAAGTATTGACAACCCTACAAAGGTGTACGTACCTACGAATTCTCGGTATCGAGACGAAATCATAATCAATCACCGATTTAAATCGGAAAGTAATTAAACTAAGCTCGGCTTCAAACATTACTCCCAATGTTTCAAGTCGAATCATTTCATCGTTATCAATAAGTAGCAAATAATTGTAAAAAGGTAATCAATACTCAGTATAATGAATTGAAACTCGAATGTAGTAATCAATTTTGATGATAAATTCAATTACAAATTATTTTCATAAATTTTCGCCATATTGAACGAGCTGTCCTAAATACATGGCTTCGTTAGCTCCGTCAGAAAGTTTCGTAAAATATTATTCGTTAACTTCATTTCTTAATATACTTAAAAACATGTCACATAAAACTTCGAAGGTTTTTAGCATTGAAAGTTTAGTCACAAATAATATAGTGAGCCAGTCTACTCGTCCACTATTTCACAACTTTTAATTAAGTTATCAATGAGAAGTTTCGTCGTAACCCAAAGAAACTGTGCAATACTTGCGTAAACAGGATTTCTTATTGACTGCCATAACTGGGGCAGCCTACAAATACTTTTGTCTTTTTTATGTAAATGTACTTGTATAGTATTTTTGTCAAACTCTCGTGAATTGTATAACAACATAGCATTCTTATAAAACAAAGACTAGTTACATAAATGAAGCCATAAGTACCAATCTTCGAGCCCTCGGTGGTATGGGAAGTTCTCCCTTCAGACCAACACAAGCGCATAATTTTTTTTACACACAAACTCTTAGCTTCCTCCGCGAACCATAGTTACGAAACATTTGCTCCGTATAAAAATCGACCTCGACGTTTCTCCACAAACACGTAGGTAAACGCAATAATTTAGTGTTCCCGTCTTACGTGATCCAATTAGGAGGCTGTGCTGATCTGCTGGAAAAACATCGGCGGGAGATTGTCTGCGCCACGACTCGTAAATGTTCTTCTTATACCAAAACTTATTACGGCTTAACGTACTTAGTACCTTTGTTTTTTAACTGAGGCTATTATTAAAATAGTTGAATACAATAAAAGACAGTAAATACTACACACTACATATTATTATATCAAAATATGTACGTTTTCGTGAACTATTAATAAAAATACTGACACTTTGTTAGTCAAACGCAAAACGATTTTTTTTTGCCGCGATAAAGCCGCTTAAAGAGACATAA